TTAATGGAAATTTTTCTTAATATAATTTTATCCCAAAATAACAATATTACAATATCTTTATCTTCTTCCATCCTAACCTTTAATCATCATTGCTAGTGCTACCTCTTTTCTTCACCACTCCTCATGTCGCCTTTTTTTTTTTCTTTTCCTTTTCTTGTGACTGCCTTCTATCATGAATCATACACTTTCACAAACTTCCCGTTGCAAACTATCCATTTTTGAGATTGACTGAAGAGGTCTAAGATGGAAAGTGTAGACACCCCATTTTTGACAGACCTTAAGACTCAGACGTCACCGATTGAGCGCTCGGTGATGTTGCATATTGTGCTCGTTCAGAGGTCGCGGAGTCTCGACCGTAAGCCTTGCCTGCGGACTTCCGGACTTTTTTGTGCTTTGCCTCGGTTTGCAAACCAGGTCCCGTTTTCTCCGTCTTCTTTTCCCGAAGGGAGGGAGAGGTCTCGTCGATCATCTCTCAGTGGCCGTAGGCTAAGTTTCGTGGTCGTAGGCCGTTTTTCCCGTTTCGGAGCCCAGTTCCCGATTTTCGGAGTCGTCTGCCGTGTGCCTCGGTTCGGGACCGCTTAACCACCTCCGTTTGCTCCGATTTTTGGTATACACCCCGCCACCATCCATTCCAACGACTTGGAGCTATTTTTCAGAGCTTAGGAGCACCATTTCTCAAACCAAGAGCTGCTGGTCCATTGGTCTTCAAGGGTAAGCTTCTTTTCCTCTTTTTTGTTCCTATCTTGCTCTATATCTAAGCCTTGCTTGCAAGCATTTTTGGGCTCCGACCCAAACTGTAAATAGTCATATTTTGAGCTCCTTTTCATGTTTGATTAAGGACCTTTTGCTGTTTGAGATCTCCTCCTATCACTTGCTTCTTTAACGCTCTTTTAGGCCTATTTTTGCGCGGTATTTTAGGCTTACTTGTGAGCTGTTTCGGACTTGGTCATAAACTACAAAGTGTCTTATTTTGAGCCCCTCTTCAACTTTGTTGAAGGGCTCTTCATTGTTTGGGGCCAGAAGCTGCTACTTGCTTCTTTATCTCTCTTTTGGGGCCATTTTTGCATGTTAACTTAGCCCTATTTGTGTTCACTTTTTGGCCTTGCTTAAAACTGCAGTGACAGATCTTAGGGGACTTCCTTGATTCTGTCTTTATGCTTCATATTCAAATAATGCATGCTTTGTATAGCTATAAGTCATTCCATGCGCCTAGTTTCAAGTTTCGGGTCTCATTTCATGCATCGGGTGCCATGTTTCCATGTTTCGGGGCTGTTTTGCATCATATTCCAGCTGGACTACCTTCAAGTGGGAGCGGGTCATGCGCATTGTTGTACTGATTAGGGGGAGACAGACATTTCCCCAAACGGATGAGGCTCTTCTACAGCAGGCAAGGACAAAAGATTGAAACAGCAAAATACACTAGTCTGCTTCCCGCGACCAGATGGGAGACAAAGGGATAAGTCAGGTTGCAGAATAGGTTCCACTGTAGGGACGAATGGAGCACTGTTGCAAAAGTTGAAAAAAGAGTTGAGGTTGTGGTGCCAGAATAGCCTGTTACTGGGAGTAAAGGTACCTTCTCGTCCAAGTAAAGGCAACTCCATGAGGCCTAAGCCTTCCGCGAGTATGGCGGTGTAGTTACAAGCAAACCTCTGGAAACTCTGATGAAAATATATTTGAGGCGAAGGGCCGTGGGGGATGCCCTGGTCCATGCCGAATTGCCTAAGGACCCTATCTGGGTGGTAGACAACATTGGACATGCCCTCCTCATTCCATACTGGCAGAAACCCGGGGCGTATCATGGCAGCTAGTAGAAGGGAGTTGGCCTGGACGTTGTCAAGGGAGAAATCAACATGACAAGCCTCTGAGAAATAAAATGGGACAATAGAATGCCTGGAAGAAGTTGGGTAAAATGGCAGAACCTACACTCCTCCATACGATCAACATAATCCACGGAGGGTCTGTTGGTGCCAAGACCAGACCACCGGGAGATGTAAGGGAGGGATTGATGCACTTGTCTTGTGACAGGTCGACCTTCTGCATCTAGAATAGGACGACTCTCAACGTCAAGGACTTCGTCAGTGAAGAAGGGCTCATGCTCTTTAGGGACGGAGCCTATAGCAGGGAATTGCTTGTAGAAGAAGGTAGTCAGGAACTGAGTGTGTACAAAGCTCCATACATCATAATGGCCTATGGACCTCTCCATGTCCGAGTGAATAAGGTCAAGGCGGAAGTATAAGTTCCCTAAGAAGAGGGGAGCTAGAAGGATCTGATTGCCGCTGTAGAGTTTAACAGCCAGAGGGAACACCAGAGGATTGATACTCTCAGTAGGGTTGCTAGAGAGAACAAAAAAAGAGATGAAATAACTGACAAAGGCAGTTAGGTATAAGTCACCACAGTAGCCCGGCCCAACTATAGAGTTGCGGTTCTCCCCTGTAATGTCGCCCACAATCAATTGCAGGTCCTTGAAGAAATGTTTCAGCTAGGAAAGGTAGGTGGTCTTGTCCCTCTTGGGCCTCTCCTGGAGCAATTCCCCAGTCTTAAGGACGTACCAAAAGCCATACTTCCGAGCCTCTCAAAAGGCACTTTGGAGGGAAGTGACGGCAGTTTATTCTGCAAAATCATGATCGCTAGATCGAAGGGGTGGTCTCCATGGGTACTCAAGAGCAGAAGAACGGTAACATCTTCGAGGGTTGGGGTTATCTCCTCCCATGCCAGGGCAAATGTGTGGGTAAACGGAAAAACGTGTTTGCAAAAAACACAGAAAACAAAACACATAGAACAAATACGAAAAATACACAAAGTTTTCAAAAACGGATATCATGGTTAGTAGAGGCCGATCTTTGATCGGGCGAGCGGGGGTGCTCACGAAGTGACCTTCCCCAATCGTACCCAAGTTCCCGAGCCGAGACAACTTTGGTGATGACGGACACGTGGCCTTAGGCAAACGAGTCAGGGTTTCCTAAATTTTTCCGAAATAAAACATTTAGGTGGCGACTCTGTATCTGGCAAAGCAGTCCATGTTTGGCACTTCTTTCAAAATCTGTTTTCTCAAAACGATTTGCCGGATTTGGACTCTTTGGTTCAGATTTAGAACCGTGACAATTTGAGAGTCCTGAATTGTAGTGAGCCCAATATGAACAGAACGGAACTCACCCTCCCGGGGCGTTCGGGGACGTCTACAGAAAGGGATAAGTTGGGAGTGGAAATGGTGGTGGCAATGGAGGGTTAAAAGTGGAGGCAATGGTGGCAAAATAGGAGTAGATGGATGGAAGAAAAATTAGAGTTTTGAAATTAAAGATGATAGTATTATTGAAACAAAGAGATGTATACTGAGTTTTTATTTTTTTATTTTTTTTAAAATATATTTATTTAAAAGATGTTCGTTTAGTATGTGTGTTGGAAAGAAAAAAAAATAATGGGCAAAAATAAAATTAACCAAATGTTACATAGAAATATCTCTCTAATTTTTGGAAGGAATATATTTGACACTTTCAAAACGTATTTACAATTTTACCTCTAAATGTGATATGATATGTGTTAATTTTTAATTTGTTATACATTTAATGATAATGAACCCAACTCCCATGTCACATTATAGATGAATTTATAAATTTAAATGTGTGAATCTCTAGTATTACTCTTCACTCAAAATAATATTTTACTTTGTTACCGTTTGGTAATTGATTTTTTTAATTGATCTTTTGACTTTTTGGCTATTTTAGATTGAAATTAAAAGTTTGTTTAGTTTGATTTTTTTTGACTTTTAGGCATCGTTTGGGAATACGCTATTTTAATACCTTTTTAGTTTTTTACGAAAAGACATGCGAAAAAGTAGAGAGAGTGATATGATAACTTATAGTGACTTTTTTACTTTTTGGCTAAAACAAAATGTTGCCAAACAACGCCTTGTAAGAGAAAAAATAAAATGATTATAGTTTGAATATACCATTTTGTCTTATTGATTTATTTAAACTATTTATCTTTTGGATTTTTGAGTAAATTACAAATACACCCCCAAGGTTTGCGTAAAATACAGATTAGTTCCTATAGTTTGAAAAATTACAAATACCCCTTTATTAGAATTTTTGATTTAACATAATTAACTAAAAAAAAAAATTCATAATTGCTCTCCTATATAATAATAAAATTACTTAAATTATTAATTGAAACATATTTTTAATATCATTAAAAACTGTTAATTGACTTAATGATTTATTAATAAAAGGGACAATTTGTTATGAAATTAAAAATCTCAGGAGGTGAAATATAATTTTTAAAATCATAAAGGGCGATTCACATTTTAATTAAACCTTAGGAAGTGTATTTGTAATTTATCTTAATTTTTTTAACCAAAAGGCCAATGCTAAACAAACCCTTTGCCATGTTTTGAGAATCTGACTAAAAGTTAATTTTTTAATTTTTGTAAATCTTATCACTTCTCTATATTTTCATATATTTTTATAAAAAAAAATTAAAAAAATTAGTTTTTAATCTACTTTTCAAAATAATTTTTGTATTTCATTTCTCTCAAGAAAAATGTTAAAAATTTCAAAAATTTTATCAAATTTTTTATCAAATACTTCACATGAATATAAAAACCTCGCAGTGTTTAGGAAGTTTGTTTTTTGATTTTTTTTCACTAAAAGACAAATTGGTTACAAAAAAAAAAAAACAAATTCAAACAAAATATCATATATTAAAATACATAATCATTTTACTTTTTTCTCACAAACATCACATCTAATCACAAAAAATTTTAATTATCTTTTTAAATACAAAATTTTTTTTCTAATAATATTCTATAACTAAAAAAAATTAAAAAAAAAATTTACTTCCCAAACACCAACATAAATCTCATATCATAAATTTTTTTAAATTTCTAACACTACGCTTCTTTCAATTTCGCTATCCATCTTTTTCGTTGTTTTCAAACGCAGCCTTTGTGTGAGCTTATATTATTGCATCATCGCGCAGTAATGCGTCAAGTATTTGCTATTCCAAAACAAAAAGCCTCTCTCTCTCTCTCTCTCTCTCTCTCTCCTCTAAATCTTCACACCTCTCTTCCTGATTCTCTCTGTCTCTCTCTCCCCTGCTTTCGACCTTGATTCTCTCTCTCTCTCTCTCTGGTTCAGATCTCAAAAACCTGTCTGTTTCTTAAAAAATGTAATCCCCATCCTCTCTGCCTGCCTTGAATTGGTTTCTCGGCTGGGTTTTCATCATAATGATGGTATATACAGCTCAAAAGAAGAAGACACTCCACGCAAAGCTTGCGAGCAAGCTGAGCAAGCTCACAATCCCAGAATCCTCATCTTCTTCCCCATCCCAAGACTTCGATTTCTCCGATGTATTCGGCCCTCAACCCTCTTCTTCATCTTCGTCTTCCTTACTCCCCTCCTCCGAAGACGACCCCCAGATCATCCACCACCGCTCCCACTCCTTCGTCGGCCCTTCCCCCCGATTCACACGCTCCAATTCTCTCCCTTTCAAGTCCTTCGACCCTGTTCTCGATTCCGATAGCTCCGAAGAAGACGAGATTATTGGAGGTGGAAATACTCCAATTGAAGAAGCCCATTCCCCCCATGTGGTGCTGGTGGAAAAGGGGAAAGAGGAGGTGCGTAAGATTGGGCCTGGGGATTTTGAGATTTTGAGGGTTGTGGGTAAGGGTGCTTTTGGGAAGGTGTTTCAGGTGAGGAAGAAGATTCATGATGTGGATGAAAATGGTGTTGGTAGTAGTGGGGATGATGGGATATTGGCTATGAAGGTGATGAGGAAGGAGACTATTATCAAGAACAATCATGTGGATTACATGAAGGCTGAAAGGGATATACTCACTAAAGTTGTGCATCCCTTTATTGTCCAGCTTAGATATTCTTTTCAGGTATTGTTAACCCTTGTAGATCAACTTCAATTTTCTTGTTTTTTATTTTATTTTATTTTATTTATTTTTTTAAGGCTAAGTTTGGATTTGGGTTTGTAAAAGATGTGATAAGAAATGAAGTGAAGATGCTCAATTCTTTTCTTTTCTTTTGTTTGACTGGGTTAAGGAAATGTACTTTGTCAAAAAAAAAAAAATCAATTTTTTTGTTTAGTTACCCATAAAAAAAAAAAATATGTGACAAATATTATGATTTGAACATGACATTAGGTTGCGGCATTAGTGTGGGAGTTTTGATGTCATATTGCAATGGAACAGTTGAATCATGCAATATGAGCTGTAAGCATGGACGCAAACACACACCAAATATGCACTTTTATGGTTGAAGTTGGGTTAGATACAGTTCAAATAGGGAAACGTATTTGTTTTGTCCTCAAAGAATTAAACTAAGATGATAACAATGGTCAATAATGATGTCAATATATACTAATTGTTAAAAGAAACTTTCTTGTTATTTTATTCTGTCACAAAAAGATGACCGAATAAACATATGGATGACTATTGATATGTATATATACATAAATGGGGATTTGAGTTAAGGGGAGGGTTTGAAAGAAATCAAACAGTAGAGAGAGAGAGAGATACAGAGTGAGTCAGGGGAGGGAGTATAGTGTGTGTAGTAGAGAAGATTGTGGATTGGAGAGAAAAGGAACCATTATCTTGTGTTGCTTGTTGTAGACAGGAGACCATCATCTGTTGGGTTTTGAGGGACCAAACTAAATTGGAAAAAAAAAAAAATCAATTTTTTTGTTTAGTTACCCATAAAAAAAAAAAATATGTGACAAATATTATGATTTGAACATGACATTAGGTTGCGGCATTAGTGTGGGAGTTTTGATGTCATATTGCAATGGAACAGTTGAATCATGCAATATGGAAACGTATAGGGAAACACACACCAAATATGCACTTTTATAGTTGAAGTTGGGCTAGATACAGTTCAAATAGGGAAACGTATTTGTTTTGTCCTCAAAGAATTAAACAAAGATGATAACAATGGTCAATAATGATGTCAATATATACTAATTGTTATAAGAAACTTTCTTGTTATTTTATTCCGTCACAAAAAGATGACCGAATAAACATATGGATGACTATTGATGTGTATATATACATAAATGGGGATTTGAGTTAAGGGGAGGGTTTGAAAGAAATCAAACAGTAGAGAGAGAGAGAGAGAGAGAGAGAGAGAGAGATACAGAGTGAGTCGGGAGGGAGTATAGTGTGTGTAGTAGAGAAGATTGTGGATTGGAGAGAAGAGGAACCATTATCTTGTGTTGCTTGTTGTAGACAGGAGACCATCATCTGTTGGGTTTTGAGGGACCAAACTAAATTGGGGAACCATTATCTTGTGTTGCTTGTTGTAGACAGGAGACCATCATCTGTTGGGTTTTGAGGGACCAAACTAAATTGGAGATGTAGGAAGGAAGGATAAATAAAGCCTAATGAGTTGTATTTTGAAATCCACCAATTATACATTGTAAAATACTATTTTTATTTATTTATTTATATTTAAATTCAAATGCAAAATGATTTAGAAGAGTGTGGATTTGAGTCCTGAATTGTAAATCCAACAATAGCCTTAGCTATATACTCTCAAACTCATCCATGCTGTCATTATCATTTTAAGTGTCCTCATCTCATTCATGACTACTTTCATATTGCTACTCAAGCTGGAGTAAAGGAATCTTGTGTCAATTCAATGTTCAAGACTTTTTCTATTTTTGAAGAAGCAAATTTTTGATCGTAGTAAGTAAAGCACAACCCATCATATCAATGTTCAATTCAATTATTTAACAGGCTCATATAAGTTTACTCTTAGTAAATTATACACCAATGTATGTGAGAGCTTATGGAATAATACTGAGGAAGTGTTAATTATAAATATCCTCTCTGAGTGAATCAGAAAAGGAGTATTGCCTTTGGTTATTTCTAATACTACATGTGTCATTGGGTGATTAATTCCTCTTTTCAATCAAGTGTAAAGATTGAACTAGTTAATTAAACATTGTTTAGGGGTGTTGACACTTTTCCCTCCCCCCTTTGAGATATATGGGGTTTATCTTCTAAAGCAATCAACAAGTTGTTATTCTGCTGCATCAATATGGTTGCAGATCAACTGGTCCGTAGACACTTGAACTGCATCTTTTAAGTTGCATTCAATTTAATTTTTCACCACATTCATCCAATAAGCATTGATCCCATTTCTATTGATAAATGCTTAACACTAGGCTTCCCCTTCTCATTCTGTGTTGGTTACTTCAGTGCATTGCTTGAACTTCATTATGTTCTCATTGCTCCTTTTCCTACAATTCTACAGACAAAGTCTAAGCTGTATTTGATCCTGGATTTTATAAATGGAGGACATCTCTTCTTTCATTTATACCGGCAAGGAATTTTCAGGTATCTTTTATTTTAATCCTTGAACAATTTATCATATGATTTTTGTTTTCTTTTTTTTGATTCCAGCTCTTGGATATGTCTTGGGTAGTGAGGATCAGGCAAGGATTTATACTGCTGAGATAGTATCTGCTGTTTCACACCTCCACAAGTGCGGAATTGTGCATCGGGATCTTAAACCTGAAAACATTCTCATGGATGCCGATGGACATGTAACGATCAGGCCCATAAACTCAATGTTGTGGCAGTATCATGCATAAACCATGAAATATAATTTGTGGTGATTAAATATTCTTCAAATCATTTTACTGCACTCCTAAATTTATTTTTTGACATCCAGGTTGTGCTCACTGATTTTGGACTGGCAAAGGAAATCGATGAATCAAGCAGATCAAATTCAATGTGTGGTACAACGGAATACATGGCTCCAGAAATCCTTCTTTCTAAAGGCCACAATAAAGATGCAGATTGGTGGAGTGTTGGGATACTCTTGTATGAAATGCTAACCGGGCAGGTGATGCATCTTTCAACAATGAAAGTCCATTTACTTAGTGATCTTTGACTGATGATTGTCGCTAGTGATCATGAAAGATCTTGAAAACCAACACAAGGACTGATGCATTAACTTGATTTCTGCTAAATGCATATTTTCTCAATGGTCATCCCCCTACACAAGGCATATTTTTTTGTTGTAACTCATGTAACTTGATTCTGTTAAATGCATTTTGAAATAGAAAATCTATAAGGATTACTTTTTTTCTAGATTTAGTTCATAAAGTGGACAATGCTACTCTAGGAGTTAAGGCTCTCTCTCTTTCTCTCTCCAACTGTTAGATGTGTATAAAATAAGCCTTCCCTTTTTGTTAATATTTTTGTTGTTTTTTTTGTTGCTGCCCCAACATAGATTGTTTTAATACCTATATTATTATTATGATGTTATTGAGGCACCTGATCTGTGCTGCTAGTTGCTTTAAATTGGACCACGCAAAGATCTTTCCTTTGGCCAATTCCTGGTTTTGGAAACATGCACATGGAGTCTGCCTGATCCATTCTTGTCCACTTTCGTAGGGATGAGGAACACGTGGGTTCTAGTTCCTTTTCAACTCTACTCTAATGATAATTAGGCTGTTCTAATGGATCAAACTAGCAGTTACATGAAATTCTAAGTTTTTGGCTATGGTTTGTGTTGCATATAATTGATCATATTTCCTGCAGCCCCCATTCACTCACGCAAATAGAAAGAAGCTTCAGGAGAGGATTATCAATGAGAAAGTGAAGCTTCCACCACGCTTAACTAGTGAAGCTCATTCCTTGCTCAAAGGAGTAAGTATATGACCATATTTTGTCGTGTTTTCCATTCTTTGACTATATGCTTTTATGTTTTCTATTTCTTTTCTGATTTTATCAAATTTGCAACCACAACCAATGCAATTTTGCCTTTACTTTTTTCAGCTGCTGCAAAAGGAACCATCAAAAAGGTTTGGCAGTGGGCCTAAGGGAGCTGATGAGATCAAAAGTCATAAATGGTTTCGCTCAATCAACTGGAAAAAATTGGAGGCTAGAGAAATGCAGCCCAAGTTCAAGCCAGATGTGAGTGGAAAAGACTGCACAGCCAATTTTGACAAGTGTTGGACAGCAATGCCTCTGGATGACTCACCAGCTCCCACACCAACAACAGGCGAGCATTTCCAGGGGTATACATATGTGGCCCCTAATCCTTGGCTTTCCTCTACGTGAATTGAAGGATCATTGATGCAAGCAAGCAATCCAGTTTATGGACTTAAGTTCTGTAAGTTTATTAATTTTGTTTTTCTCCAACTAAGAAAATGGGGAAAAAATTGTAATCTCATATCTCATGTACAATATATTTATACTTTTCTTGTCAATGTATTTGTAGTTTCCTTTTGTTGTTTTGGTTTCCTGTGGCTTCCCTTTTTCGCTATTCGTTCACAACATGCTTTTAAATGCTGATATCATGTGTGGCTACAAATATACTTCCTTAGTTATATCAACTCTTATTTCTGCTGACAACCCCATTCAACCAAGACCAGATAGAACTAATTAAACCCTCTGAACTTGAGTTTATACTCATGGACATGTAAATTGAGTGCTTTATAATCTTATAACTGGCTCAATATTTATTTTGTATAAAATGTGATGTGCTGCCAATATTATTTTGACTGGACTTAAAATTATTTTTGTATTTTAACATATATTAGAGATTTTTGCTGAGTAACAATTTATTTCCAATATTCTTTGATTTGTCTGAATTTGGAAAATGGTATTTGAATTTGATATAAGGTGAAATTTGATTTAATAATGTAAAATGTTAGGTTTGTACCCAATCTACCTCTCTCAAATCCCCATCCAATGGGGACTAAACGAGGAATACTTAAGCATGAGGTGATAATTATCTTGCTATTTCTTTTTTCTTTTTTGGTTGGGATCCTAGTTCAAATTCAGATAGTTTTGTAACTTTGACAATTAATATGAGTTTTGTTGTACCAAACTATCACATGGAATTTTCTAATCCTATTATTGTCTGGCTGACATACTGAAATATTGTTGAGAACCTAACCTATGCAAATTTGTAATATTTACCTAGCCTTTCCTTCAGTTGGAAGTCAAACTAAGTTACATTCTGGATTAAATACATTTCTTTTTCTTACACTCGAAGATTTCAGTGGCAGGAGTACTTTGCGCTGATTTTGGTTCACAAGGTTTGATGTCTTCATTACATTGTCAGCTAGCTTATTCAAATGTTTTGAAGGATATTACTGCAGTGGCGTAACTTTTGAAGTTATATTACAGTGTAAATGATTGCACTATGTTTATTTGGGGAAACTTTTAGAAGCAATTGTCTCTCATTTTTCCCTATTTAGCTTTAGATTGGTTGAAGCTGTCCAAACATTTTCTTCTTCACCAAGAAAATATCTTGGGAGAGGTCATTTGATATATGTGCCCATTTACCTAATTGTATTGCATGCACTCATGTTCTGCTTGCAAACAAATATAGTTAGCCATATTAAGAATATTGAAAACCTGTGAGTTGAGAACTGTGGGAAAATGCTTTGGAAATTAGATGGTTCAAGTCAAGATCCTTCTAAGACTCAACCCTACAGCCTGTGAGTTGATAATTTCAAGCTGCCTCCCTCCATTCAAGACAGGAGGATTGGTTTGGTTAAGATGATTCTATGGGAAATTGGAAACATCGAAGTGAGCTATGGCTTATAAATAGGAAGATTAGGAGATAACGGGCGAATAAGTACTAGGACTAGTACACAAGCCATTTATAATAGATAAGACTAGAGGGAACAAAGAGTGCTTTTATATTATTAAAAACCAATTGGAGAATGAAAGATTGTTGCTCCTAACAAAAGGCCATGACCTGGAGCGATGACAAGTGTTATTTGCTCCAAAACTTGTGGTTGGGGTTTGAGTCACAATAATTAAGAATTAACATGTCCACATCAAAAGTGGGGGAAAGTTGCTTACCTACTACCTCTCCCATACCCTGTTGTAAATGGGAGCTTTGTGCATTGGGTAGACCTCATGTTTCTCAAGTAGAGCTTTCTAGTTTTAGAATGGGATAGATGATGATGGAAATGCTCTTGGGCACATGGTAATTATTGAATGCATATTGAAATTAAATATCTAGAAAATTGTCGGAATTCATGTTCATAAGATGTGAATAATATTAGTTCTACGCTAGACAGCCATTTATCACAATCCCACTCCTTTCTCTGGGCTTTTGACCAACTATGTCAAAAAGACATTGAGTACAACTATGAGGACATCTACCATTGTGCTATTAGAATGTTGAGGCATGAGTGACAATTGACCTGAAAATAAAAAAATATAAGTTAAATGTGGCGTTGATTGAGGACAAGGTGTATAAGAGGAAGTCTTGCAACAAATTTTTAGTCATTTGCAGACTACATTAGTAATGAGTTTAGTTATTTGGTTACAAGTTGAAGATACAAAAGGTTGATAAAAGTTGGAGAGAATGTGGATTGTGGTTTTGACAAATAGTGTCCTGTGGCTCAACTAAAAGTTAGGTCATGCTAAATCTGAAAATATTATTGACATAAGTGATTGCACTGAGGCTTCATTTAAGTGATGGGGCAGTGAGGCCCTCTTAATTGAATGGTAGATTAATTTATGAAAATATATGAAGATGATAAACAAGTTTATGCTTATATCTGTGAGTAGGTGTATGGGGGTGTGTGTGTGTGAGAGAGAGAGAGAGAGAGAGAGAGAAGATTCTGCGAAAACTTCCTCATGAAGGTGATTTAAGGTAGTGGCGAATAGAAAATGCAAACATTAAAATGATTAGTATTAAGGGGATAGTAGGTGATTTAAAGTAGTGGCGAATAGCAAAGAGAGAAGGAAAATTGATTAGTATCAAGGGGAAAGTAGTAGAGAATATAGTATTTCCAACTCACACTACTTTAAACCGGATAAGATAGGAGTATTATGATGCACTTACAAAAACAGTAACATAACTACGTCATTAATCATGTGGTTCACATATTAATGGAAAGCAATAGTGAAGCATCTTGTTCCAACTTGCTTAACTTTAAGCCATACAAACATGTTATATATTTAGAAATACATCTTAATACCTCAATAATGACGTGGTTAGCTACATCAGCACATACTTATTAAGAAATCACTTATTCTTCTGCCCGATTTTCTATAGGTAGTTGTAATATCTGGCATATTTTCCTTCTATGTGGACTAGATTAATCATATTTGAACTGCAGAATATTGAGCATCTGTAGGAAAACATGAAATAAAAAGTTGTGATCTGTAGTGTGGCCTTAAAAAACAACAGAACATAACATGTACTTCCTAGAAAATAAGGAAAAACCCCACTATTGTGTGGGACATGTCAAGCATAGATAGAGGATAGATTCTCCCTAACATTTAGTACTCTAGAAAAGGAGCAAAAATCTCATTCCATGGTGCAAGGAAGGGATCCACAAAAATCCACAATCATTCTTTTCACATTGCTTCAGAAGCAAGTGTCATAGGCCTATAAATGTCCCAGTTTGCTAGTGTATCAGCAGTCATTTCATCTTTGTCTTGAGAGTAAGGGCAGTTAGTTATAAACAGTTAGGAATGGACATGAACAACAGGGGCAGAAGCAACAAGTCTCTCTGCGAGAAGTCAATGGAGATGGTAGTTAACATTGTCAAGCTATCATCCTTCTCCATTGCCAAGATGAGTCTTGGAACAGCCGGTTCTCCACCAGCTACCAAAAATATTGCATCTTTCTCAGGCTCTGTTGCCAATACTCCACCGCTAATGCCTCAGTTTCCTGTGAGCCAGAGGGCACAAGAGCCAAAGAGCGGCTCAAAGCCTGTCTCTTTTCTGATTGAGCCAAATGGTAATGGATCTTCTTCGCATGTGATTCATGAAGAGGAGAGTGTTGATGGGAAGGCTACAGATTATATCAGAAAGGTTCATGCGAAGAACCGAAATCATTCCAGTGAACCATCAACACTTTCTCCATACATACTGCCTCCGCCACCTCATGTACTGATGTAGCTATCTCTAATGTGTGTGTTTTTTTCCCTTTTTTTTTTTTTGTTTTTTTAAAAAAACTGTTCTTCGTGCTACTGTTGTGGTTGAAATAAATCAGTTTGATAGATAATGTGGTTTGCTTGCTTGAAGCATAATCGTCCCTCTCTGCTTTAACGCTTGTCGTGTAAGAAGACCTCATGTTTCTCAAGTAGAGCTTTTGTAGAGCATTACTTTGTGAAACCCTTGGTCCCTCTGATTAATATATATAGTGGTTCTTCATGTGCTTTTTGACAATATCTATTGTTCTCTGATTGTGTTTTCCAGGCTGTTAAATTCAAATACTAGATAACATTTTCTTTTATTTTTCTTTCCTCATTGTTGATGACTTATAAAAATAGATAATAACTTACCCCAAGAGAAGCGAAAAACGAAAGAAAAACGAAAATGAAAATGGATGCATAATATGCAGTGAGTGAGGTCCAATTTTACTGTGTTTTCATTTGCTAAATTTCACTTCAAGCATAAAGTTGAATTAAAGTAGGAAAGAAATAGAAGAGAGAGAGAGAGAGAGAGAGAGAGAGAGAGAGAGAAGGATAAAAAGCAAGGCAGAATATAATTGGACTTTGACAGGAAGCAATATAAAAAAGAGTATTGGGGAAAACTACAGAGATGCAACATTGGGTGTAGAAAGTAAGGAGTGGTAAGGGATAGAAGAATCTCCAACAAGTCTATTTGCTTACGCAATGCCTAATGGCAAATGCAAGTGATTCTTCTAAACAAGCCCTTTTCATTATTGGTACTAGTAAGTGAGGAGTACCTCATCTAGAAATTTGGAATCTGTACTCTTATCTTAGCATCTCCAGTAGTCCAGTGATTTTGTTTATAATATGGTTGTGTTTAGTTTATTGATTTGAGTAAAAATTTTAAAAAGAAAAAGAAAAAAAATGAGTAAAATATAATTATAATTTACTTATATTTCACACATTTTAAAAAAAAAAATCTTTATCTAAATTTATGAAATAAACACAACGTAACGTAAGGACTCGTTTAGGAGTTGACTTTTTTAGTATCTTTTTGGTTCTTGATAAAAAAGTACATGCCCTAAGCTCATATGATATAGTTAAAATAATACTATAATTTGGCAATCATAATGTGAAGTTTTGGCCAATAGTTCCTCTAAACAGGGTTTTTTCCTTCTTTATTTTTTTTTTGAGGGGGTTAAACTTCTTCAAAATTGATTTTGATTTAAGTTTTAATTCACATAATATTTAATTAATTTATCCTTATATTTTTACATCATTTGTATTAATTTTAATCTCTTTAATATTACTAAAAAAAACCAATATAATTATCTTAAAATTATGAATCTTGATATAATTTTCTA